TAGTTAAGTAGATATAGTACTGCAATAATCGACTACGATTTAAAATCACTTAGTATTTTAAATTAAAATCGCACTCGGAAATAACACTGAGAATAGACAAATATTGTGGTAAGATCGTTGTATGTCGCACAATGAATMGCACTGTTACCGCTTCGAATTCAAACTGTTGCCGAGCGGCGCGCGTTCAGCGTTTATATGGCCGACCGAACGTTCGAGAAGGTTCGAGAAGTTTCGTGCGCCCRCCCGTGTCCGCGTCGCCTTCGCCCCACTGTACCGCCGCATCGGTACCGAATTGTTTAGAATGTTTAGATAGATATGACAATGGTTTTTTAGAACATTCTAGAATTTTCTCTGTCCGTTTCGTTAATTGTAATTTTCATTGAATTTTCTTTCCATCAAATGTCTCTATTTATGTTTATTATATTTTTTATAGTTKATTGATAGGTTGGAACATAACGCATAATAGGATTTAGAAGCATTATGTTTTTTGATGCCAAACAATATATTTTCATTTATATTATGTATTTTAGAACCGTTGTGCTGATCCTTATGCCCAAACACAAATAGTATATCAATTACCAGCTTCATTTCTCCATTGGCACGACTAAAGAAATGCAATGTGTATTTAGCTCCCACAAGTTGTTATTAAAATCTGCCTGGTTTATATGTCCGTGTCCACCTCATATTGTTAGAGTGAACGACAATAAATTTTAGGTGTTTAAATTATAATACATTTTCTGAAAGAATTTTAAAAATTTTGGTGATAATATTAATTTGTAATTTATGATTAGTTATTACATATACCTGTAAATGGCGATTATCATAAAAATACATATTATAGGTTTTTGGTGATATACTTAGTTTGGCTGTGGCATTGTTTGGTGCCTGTGACAACTAAATATAAATCATGTTAGGGCATCAACACATCAGTCATCAATATCTAAGATTTGTCCATGATTTAAAGCTTAATAATTACATATTATTGAAAAAGTTACATCTAAATGATTAGTACATTATATTATTAAACATTTTATTGCATTAAAAATAAATTAACATTAACAAATTACAAAATCATACACCTTATCTAATAGAAAATCACATTAATGGAATGATTAAGTATCTACATTACATATTTGTATAAAAAGCACAGATAATCAGTCTATTCAATGCATAATAACAGTATGATAAACTATTCAAATATTAAAGAAATTTTTTTCTATATACTTTATAATATAGAGTAATATGTTTAATATTAATATTAATATAATTTTGAACAAAACAATGAAAACAATATGTCTATATAACTATATCATACATAGGTATACATAAAAATGGTAAATATGAATAATGCCATACTGGTGTTGCACACAGATACACAAAAAATATGGTATTATA